AGCAGTAAGCCTTTAAACTTGATTCTGGATTCCGTGCCCATCTTACACACCATTCTTCTTCCTCCAGTGTATTTATTCTGCATCTGCAATTAAGAAATGCAGTTTTCTAAATTGGGGTGGAACATCACTTGTGTTGTGGTGGTGGCGGCGTTCAAACTGATCAGATTTTTTTTTTTATTGACAAGCAGCTATGAAGCCCTGTTTTCCATATTGCTGAGTACTAGGGGATTCTCTGCTGTGAAAAATGGGCCACTGTGAAAAATGGGAAAGAGATGCAAGATGTCATAATATGAGGGAACATGTTGAGTGTACAGAATGCACAGCAGAACCCACTGACACTGGCATTGCAAGATGTGATCATTGGCAATGTGTGTTTCTGTGCACCTGTGCAAAGTTGGCTGCAACTCCACCACACTGCACAGGGCTGTAATTTGTATGGGGAAGGAGTCCTCTACAGAAGCTCTGGAGAGCTTTTTTAGACTTGTGCCACTAAATTGAAAAAAGGGGTGGTATTTTCACCAGTCCCCTAGTGCAGATGCGGTGGCTCAAGTGGTTAAGACGCTGAACTGCAGGCTGTGGAAGGTTGGTAGTTCAGCAGTTTGAGACCCGAGTGTGCCGCAAGACAGGGTGAGCTCCTGTCTCTAGTTCCAGCTCCTGCCAACCTAGCAGTTCAAAAGCAAGAAATTGCAAGTAGATAAATAGGTACCACTTCAGTGGGAAGGTAACAGCATTCCATGCGCCTTGGTGTTTAGTCATGCCGGCCACATGACCACGGAAACGTCTTCGGACAGCGCTGGCTTTTCGGCTTTGAAACGGAGATGAGCACCGCAACCCTAGAGTCAGATTCAACTGGCTTTCGAGCAAGGGAACCTTTACCTAGTGCAGATGTATAGTAATGCTAATTTCCTTTCCTCCTTGCAAATTCGTATGGTTTTCTTCTTGTAATTCTTTACTTTGATCCTGCACACTGGTCGTGATCTTGGCAGTTTTTTAGAGTCTGTCCTGTGCATATTACACTCTGTACTCCAAGTGGATCGATTCCAAGCGATTCTTAAGTTCAGCAGTTTGCAGAGGGTCCATGTGGCTCAGCTGCCATTTTAACGTTAGGCTTCCGGAGACTGCAAAAATGGTGTCCCCCCCCCACTTTGTTCACTAAAGCATTAAAGGGACAAATGTTTTCAAAGCTTTAGGCTCCCCATCCCAGTGTCTCTCTATATATATCTCAGTTTCATTTCAAGCTGACAATCCCTACCCTTTATTTTGTTTGCATGCACCACTGAAATCCTTTTTTTTTGCACTGGGGATGCTGCCATTTGCCTTCTCTCTGATCCCCCTTTGAAGTCAATACCAGCAGGGAACTTAACCTCACACAGCTCCTTTTAAACTTCCCCCGTTGTTTAAAAATTTTTATTTAGCGATCTGAGAAGAGCGATAGTCTTATATCATTAGACTCATGCCACTTGTCAAAAAATTAAAAATCTTAAAATGAGGGAGAAATGGAGCTTTTTACACCAATGAATAGGGGAGGATGGCAGAAGGTGCGGAGTGAGCGGAGAAACCTCAGTGTGGGCAGGGGAGTGATCTTTGAGGGGTGGGGGGAGGGAGGGCAGTTTTTTAGAGTCTGTCCTGTGCATATTGCACTCTGTCCTCCAAGTGGATCGATTCCAAGCGATTCTTAAGTTCAGCAGTTTGCAGAGGGTCCATGTGGCTCAGCTGCCATTTTAACGTTAGGCTTCCGGAGACTGCAAAAATGGTGTCCCCCCCCCACTTTGTTCACTAAAGCATTAAAGGGACAAATGTTTTCAAAGCTTTAGGCTCCCCATCCCAGTGTCTCTCTATATATATCTCAGTTTCATTTCAAGCTGACAATCCCTACCCTTTATTTTGTTTGCATGCACCACTGAAATCCTTTTTTTTTGCACTGGGGATGCTGCCATTTGCCTTCTCTCTGATCCCCCTTTGAAGTCAATACCAGCAGGGAACTTAACCTCACACAGCTCCTTTTAAACTTCCCCCGTTGTTTAAAAATTTTTATTTAGCGATCTGAGAAGAGCGATAGTCTTATATCATTAGATTAGTTGCTCTTTTCTGCACCTTCTCCAGTGCTATAATATCTTTTTTGAGGTGTGGTGACCAGAACTGCACACAGTATTCCAAATGAGGCTGCACCATCGAATTAATGCAGGGGCATTATGATACTGGCTGATTTGTTTTATTTATTTATTTAGGTCAGATTTATACCCCACCCTCCCGGCCAAGACCAGCTCAGGACGACTTACACAGAGTAAAAAATATGAATCACAATTAAAACAATTTAAAAACCAACTAAAACAGTCTAATATATTAAAGTGCTAATAGTCATACATTGTTTAGTGATGGCAGCCGTTAATCAATGGTCCCTTCTCACAGTTGGCTCGTAGGTATTTCCTTTAGGCGGCTGGAACAGGCTGCTGTTTTTGATGACTCTCTATCTTCAGCTGTTAATGGCGGCTCCTTATTGAAGGCCTGGTGGAAGAGTTGTTTTACAGGCCCTCAGGAACTGGATAAGGTCCCGCATGGCCCTGCTCTCTTCTGGGAGCTCGTTCCACCAGAACAGAGTCACCACTGAGAAAGCCCTGGCCCTGGTTGTAGCCAGCCTGGCCTCTTTGAGACACAGAAGAGCCAGTTGGTTCTGAGATCCTGATTGCAGTGCCCTCTGTAGAACATGTGGGGAAAGGCAGTCCCTCATGTATGTAGGCCCCTGACCATAAAGGGCTTTAAAGGTAAGAACCAGCACCTTGAAACGGATCTGGTATGCTATCAGCAGCCAGTGCAATGCTTTTAGCACAGGCTAGATGTGCTCCCGCACAAGGAGACCTATCAAGAGCCTGGCTGCAGCATTTTGCACCAGCTGCAGCTTCTGAATCTGAGACAAGGGCAGCCCCATGTAGAGAGCGTTACAGTAGTCCAATCTCAAGGTGACCATCGTGTGGGTCACTGTTGCCAAGTCATTGCGTTCGAGGAAGGGAACCAACTGCCTGATCAGCTGAAGATGGTATAAAGCTGATTTGGCAGTGGCTACTATCTGGGCCTCCATTGTTAAGGAGGCATCCAGAGCACTCCCAAACGCCTAACCTCCGGCGCTGGCACCAATGGTACCTCATCAAAGGTTAAGAGTGAGATCTCTACCCCCAGGTTGCCCCGACTCAGACACAGGACCTCCGTCTTCATCGGATTCAATTTCAGTCAGCTCAGTCTAAGCCAAGTAGCCACCGCTTGTAATGCCCAACCTAGATCTTTCGGTTTGGAGTCAGACCGGCTGCCCAACAACAGATAGAGCTGGGTATCAACTGCAAACTGATGACAACCCAGCCCATGCCTCCAAGCAATCTGGGCAAGGGGGCGCATATAGACAGTGAAGGGAATAAATATGTCAAAATTGGATATTGCTGTATCCTTAATTGTGGAATGCTGAGAGTAATGAATTGAGACCCTGCCATCTGCTGGAGGCGACTTTACAGCATCTTCTTTGAAGTGGGGCGATTGCCTGTGTAGATTTATTACACAGTTATATTGTCTACCTGCTTTCCTTAATTCTTTTGCTGTTTTTAAATCATCCTCTAACCTTTGAGGGTTGCCAGATTGAAGTAAAGCAGTGATGTTTTTGTGAAATTTTATGGAGAACAATTTTTAATAAAGACCATTGATTATATTCTACAATGTATAAAATTATTTGCATTATTATTGTTGTTATTATTGTTATTCTGTATTTATTTATTTATACGTTATAGCCCACTCTCCTGAAGACCAGCTCAGAGCAGGTAGCATCAGTTTATCAGTTTGTTTGCTCAGTACATTTGAAAATGACATACAAGGAGTTCCGGATGATGTTTTACCTGCACTGAAGTCCTGCAAGGTAGATTAGGCTGAGATAATGGCATGCCCAAAACCATCCTGTTTCACTGAACAGGAGTTTGATCTTGGATTTCCTATGTCTAAGCACCCTACTTTAGCCATTATACCATACTGGCTCAAAGTCACTGTACAAAATGAAGCAAGAACACCAATTTGGCCCTTGCAAGGGCAGAAAAGCGGGATATAAATTTTGTAAAATAAATAAATGTCAGTTTAGTGCATGAATGGATGTTTGTTATAGGGGTGACTTTTCACATTTTATCACACAGCTGTGCTTACTCTGGACCTCTGCTTACCCTTTCAAAGAAAATGTGTCAATTTTGATGTAGTGCAACCACCAGTTGTATTTTTAAGACTTAGCCCCTTAAGTCTGAACAGTAGGAATAATCAATCAATCAATCAATCAATAAACCTTTAATAGCATATACAACATTAAAATCAGAAACAGAAAGTGACACAGTCAACTAAAAAACTGGAATAATTATAAAATCATGAAACGGAGTTTCCCAAATTTTTCACTCTTATCACATCAACTAAAAAATTAGCCACTGTCACTGTAATCTCTGCTGTTGTATCATTCAATAGAATTTGACATTTTCTTTCATTAGAAAGGTGATATTTACCGTGCAACCAAGAGTTTAACCATTTTTCCCTAGCAGATACATGCAACGAACAGTCCAGCAGTATGTGATCAATTGAATCAAGAGAGCTTGAACCACAGTCACATCTCCGTTCATACTTAGGAATATTATGAAACCTACCATACAGTAGTTTTGATGGAAAGGCATTTACTCGAGCAAGGGAAAAAGCTCTTCGATGGCTAGGGCTATCCAAATTATACAAATACTGGGGAATACATCCCACATCATTCTTAAGATTTAATGAAGCTGAAGAGCAGACAGGGGGATGAAAGGGCTGCAGTTTTTGAAACTCAATATCTAAAAGCCTGAACAGTAGGAATATTAGTATCAATAAGGAAGTACAGACAAAAATGGTCTTACGATGCCTTCACATCTCAGCTATTTCTATTCTGGGGAAAGAGATTTTATACTGTAGAAGGTTGTTGTTCCTTCTTTCAATTCATAACTTTTTCTTCTTTTCCACAGGGGGAAGAGGAGGGGCAGGATGGATGCTGTGGGTGACTTGATGCCTACGCAAGTTCTTCCAAAACACATATTGGATGTATGGGTCATTGTCCTGATTATCCTGGTCACCATTGTTATCATGACATCCTTAGTACTGTGCCCGGCAACAGTTGTGATTATTTACAGAGTGCGGACACACCCTATACACAATGGAGTTGTGTGAGACTTCCTTGGCTTTCACGGTGTGACTTCTTGTGAGAAACATGAGGCTAAAGGGCAAGAGTTGACTTATCAAGCTGTCTCTGATATTAAGCAGAGTGTAGAAGACACAACAGGAGAACACCAACCAGGGCATGGCAGCAACATCTGGACTGTAGTCACAAGAAGAATTGTCAAAGTCTGCTTATCCATTCAGGCTGTAACTCTTAAGTTTTAAATCCAGGACTTTATCTCCAATTGTGGAATGCTCAGGTGGATCAGGATCCCAAATTTCCTATTTTGGTTTCTTGCTCTCTACTTAACAAAATGTGTGTGTGTGTGTTTTTACTGAGCAAACTAATCTGAAAGGCCAAGAAGATGGTTGAATCTGATGCTGGAAAGGAAATGCAAAATATATCATAATAAAGACCTTCCGATGGTTTCCAGATGCAACTGCATTATAAGAACAACCTGCTTTAACTATTCCAGTCAAATAGCTATTTCTTCCTGTAAGAACTGAATGGGATACTGTGGCCTCGGCCACACGGGCAGGAAAATGCAGGGGGGAGGCGTGGCTGTTTGCCCTGGAGCAAACTAACGCGCGACTGCGCTATCAGGCATCGGGTTGAGGTCCCGTTGAGCTCCCGTGGTTAGGGGGGAGGTGCTGATCATACGAAGCGGCAAAGAAGCAGACCGGCGCGGCAAACAGGGTTGTGGGTTTTTTAAAAAAACTGAAATGTGTGCATGCTCCGTTGGGTGCTTGTGTGCATCCGTGGAGACTTGGGGGGGGAACCTTTTTGTGAGGGGACATGGGCAGGCGCCGGAACTACCACCGGAAACGCGATCAGACGTCCGCCCTTGCCCCGCGGTTCCCAGAAACTAGTACATCCGAGGTACTAGTTTTTTACACCGCATCTTCGGCGGGAAGCCTCGGGTGCGCCACGGGAGCTCTACGCTTCCCAGATGTGGCGGTGAGATCACGCCCGGAAAATCCGCCTATCTTCCGTCTCTCTAGCGTGCCTAATGCTCCGTGTGACCGGGGCCTATGACTGTTTTTATTTGAAACGACCCTTCTGTTTCTTTCCTGCAGATCCTGTTATTATATTACAGCAGCTGACAAGGAATCAGGTGGGAAAATAGGGATGCCAGCCTCCAGGTGGGACCTGGGGATTGCCCAGAATTACAGGTCATCTCCAGACTACAAAGATCAGTTCCCCTGCAGTAAATAAATGCTTTGGAGGGTGGGCTCTATGGCACCGTACCCCACTGAGATCCCTGTTTTCCCCTGGCTCCACCCCCAAATCTCCAGTAGTTTCCCAACCTGGACCTGACAACCCTAAATGAGATTTGATTAAAGCAATTTGCTGCCAGAGGTGTAGTTTAGGAGGTGGTAATGAGAACAATGAAAGTAGAAGAGCTTCTGCTTTAAAGCTGACACGGTAAAATGGTGTATATCTAGCACAACTAAGAGCAGAATGGGACAGTTCTAGTGAAAGGCAGGTAAGATAACCTTGCTGTGTCAATACTACATGCTGTGGTTATCAAGAAAATGCGTCAATTTGGATTTGATAAAGGGGTTCTTAAAGCTTTGAGATCTCTGAGGTAAGACATAGATAAAACTGTGTTAGTGATTTGTCCCCTATGCGTTCTCTTTCTAGTAATTTGTAATTACTAGAACCAGGGCTATTTTGGGGCAGGAACGCACAGGAACAGAGTTCCTGCTGGCTCCTGAGTTGGCCACACCCAGCAGGAACTCATTAGCATAATAGGCCACACCCAACAGCAGAAACTCATTAGAATTGGCTGCATTAGGGGTGTGTGGCCTAACATGCAAAGGAGTTCCTGCTACAAAAAAACCCTCTGGGTTTTGACAACAAGGTAAACAGAATAAGAAGCAAAAGGTGGGTATGGCTGGATAACCACACTTCTGGTAACATGGGGGTGTGGCCTAATATGCTAATGTGCTGTGCTGTCAAGGGTGTGGCCTAATATGCTAATGAGTGTCTGCTGTTGGGTGTGGCCTATTATGCTAATGAGTTCCTGCTGGGCTTTTTCTACAAAAAAAGCCCTGACTAGAACTATTAGATGTTTCATTATCTCTGGCAGAACTGATAAATATCTGTATCAGCACATATTACCTTGCACAATTCCCTCTCTCGTATGGTTACGGCTGGATTTCTCCACACAGTAAAAATGCTACTCCTGCTACAGAGAGAATTCTTAGGCCTTCAGTGGCTGCTCGAGGTGTTTTGCTACCACCTCACCACTGCTCCACCGAGGAACTGGAGGAGATAACATTCCTTACCTCATTGCTGCCCTTGCTCTCTTTAAAAATAGCACAGCAACCAGAAATGGTGGCCCAGCAAAAAGAAGATATCTCACAAGAGTTCAGGAACTGACAGGTCGCTGTACAGCTTTTAAAGAGGGGGGCGTGGAGGATTATCTACTCTAGCTTTTGGGTGGGGGCAGTACTCAGGCAGCTGGCAGACAGCAGGTAGGCAGCTGGCAGTGGGTGGGCTGAAAGGGTGCCCCCCAATCTTCTTCCTGAAGCAGCCACCTCATTATAGAGTTTGTCTTGTATGGCTTC